ATCTCGGAAGTGTGTAGCTATCTACATAGCGTAGGTGAGAGTTTTCTAAATACAATTTTGTAAATTCTGTGATGAATATCAAAGTACCTGTGATTTTACGAGTAGACTGTTCGAGAATTTTATGTAAGGAATCGCAGATTGTGATAAAATCCCAAAATGTATTAAAGATTTTGAGATTTGGATAGTGACTTCTTTAATAGCCTCGTCGGCCGAGTGGTCGCAAGTGCGACTGCTGGGCAAGGCGTCTCGGGTTCGATTCCCGGGTCGGGCAAAGATTTAGTGGGTTTTTAAAAAATCTCAGTACCTGGTAGCACGGAGTCTGGAATTGTGCCCGGTATGTTTCAATAGGCTCACCCCCTATTACATGGGACTCATAACAATAAACAGTGAAAAGTGGGTGTTACAATGGCATTAAGTGCCGTAATGCACCTCTGCCTACCCTTCCAGAGATAAAAAGGCGTGATGTTATGTTACACTTCGTTAATAGTACGTACATTGTTTTTGATAAGCCATATCTTCAGACTGGTCACTGGTGACAAAAAAAATAATTTTAATCATTAATTTAGTTGGTCCGTCGTCGGTCTGTCAAATCAATATCACCCATATATAGCAGTCCCAGCGGTCACCGGTGACCGCTCTCCACTAACTACATTATAGACCTTATTTCCAATGATTAGAGACTATTTTTGTATGAACAAATTTATGGGATTCTGTAATTAGATATATTTTCTCCATTTAAGAAAGAAGGAAAGAAAGAAAAATCATTTATTCGACAGTAGGCACGCACACAGATACAAAAAAATACAAAATTAAAAAAGAAAAGAACAAATAAATACACTTATTTATATAGATATAGAAAAAAAACAAAGAATTTACAGGAAACTGAGTTACTGAAACACAAAAATACACCTTTAAACATAAAAAAAAACTCCTAATTAATCCACAACAATCTCATTTCAAACATTTTTCCTTAACAACAAAGAATATAAATAAAACAAATGTAAATAAAAATACAAAAAGCAAAAACGAAGCTCCGCCGCGACAGTGATATCACTGCCGTGACCAGGATTCGAACCTGGGTTACTACGGCCACAACGTAGGGTCCTAACCACTAGACGATCACGGCTATCGGAGCAGATACTTAGATCAGCGAAATAAGTCACCGCTTTACATTGGCTTTCACTCTCACTAATATTTCTTTCTCTTTTACTCGTAAACAAAAATAAACAATGATAAATAATGGTGAAGTAATCGATTTTTGTCGAATCAAGTTATCGTTGTCATTTTGTTATCTGGAATTGATGTAGGCATTTGCTTCGAACGTATTCGATTACGTTAACAATTTTCAAGTAGGTATAGGTACTTACTTGGGTATTTCTTTTTTAATATGTCATGGAAATGAGATTCGTATTATGACGTCATTTTATTAAAATAAATGTGTTTTTTTGTTTAAAGTGTGGGTATGGCAAATGCTTTTCTACCTAGCTCTTCAAGAAATAAAAGGTGTGATGTTGTAATAAGTAAGTTTTGTGTCTGAATAACAGAACATAATATCACGCCTTTTATCCCCGAAGGGGTAGGCAGAGGTAGATATTTTTTTTTTTTTTTTTTAAGGGGGGAAAATCATCGAATGACTGCCCCCGCCTGGGTGAGGCGGGAGGGAGTGTCAGACTCTTACTGACTAAAAACCACCCCGTTCCTTCTCCTGCACGTCGAGCCGGAGCCCCGGTTACCCGTTAGGTTCTCCGCGAAGAGGTAGATATAGAGGTACCTACAATACGGCACTTAATGCCACTGTAGAGGTACAATGGTTACATTATTGGTCACATAACATAAATATTAATGTTTTTTTTTAATTATTTCATTATTTCTTTAATTATTCAGACACTGACTGCTTCGCTGACCGAGTGGTCGCAAGTGCGACTGCCGGACAAGGGGACTCGGGGTCGATTCCCGGGTCGGGTAAAGTATTACCTACTGGGTTTTTAAATAAATCTCAGTAGCAGCACGAAGTCTGGAATTGTGCCCGGTAGGTATATGGCAATAGGCTCACCCCCTATTATATGGGTCTCATAACATAAATAGTGAAAAGTGGGTATTACATTGTACAGTGACATAATGTACACCTCTGCCTACCTCTTGGGGGATAAAAGACGTGTTGTTATTTTATGTTATTTTTAGCAGTTTGTTAAGCAGATTTAATTAGACAGAATTAATGCTGAACTTGAATTATTTGTATAACTGCACCATCAATGGTATTCATATTTAAAAAAAAATAAAGTACAGATTTTGTGATCTGATCAATGACGTACCCAAATTATGGTCTTGGGTGCCATCGATGGCACACGTGCCGATTCGTCATCCCTGAACTAGGATATTTATAACATTAAGTAGTTCTATTAAAAACTTAAATTGCTTTAGAAATTTTAGATGGATATAGATAGGAAATTAATTATAACCATAACATATAACCAAGAGCCATAAACCATCCAATCTATATTAACCTACATGGACTTCATAATGGACTCCGGACCTCCTTATAGCGTCACAGTATCCAGGTAAATTAGTTTCGGACCTCATCAGGCCGTCAATCACACGTGGACGTCCCATGATTGGCTATTACTGGCCCCTAATACGAAATGTGTTACTGACAGACATTCAGATTGCCACATAAGCTTATTATTGAGACACCCTTTATGTTGGTAGCTTTTGTAGGGGATTAACTGTTTCTGATAGCTGAATGGAGGAATGGAGGAATGGGGGAATAGAGAACGGCGAATTGATCGTGTTGTAAATGTGATTAGTATTCTAAAATCTAAATTCTCTGTTATATAAGTACTTTTAGTGTTTAAGTTGTCACCGGTAATTAATGAAAAGCAAAATTTAAAAATCAGTAGGACCTATTTGCCATACTGAGAGTCAATTAGGCATACCTCTGGTTATTTAGCAATTGTTTTTGGAATAACACTGTCACTAATCATGTTTTTTCTCTGAGTACGGCAATAAGAGTCAGTAAGTTACGGATGCATACAAAGATACTTTGCAAAAACCCAATTGACAGATCCAATTTTGTTCCAAAAACAACAAATGTTTGAGAAAGTACCTACAAAATAAATTCCCCAACTAAGTTAGCCGGTTAAATCAATTATTAAAATTCTTGTTGATAAACTTGAAGGTGCTGGAATGCGTAAACAGCAGAAGAAAATTTTAAATAACTTCGTTGTAAAGGGAAATTGTATATGGTAATATTGGTACACGATAATTTAGAATATGTAAGTATTAACTAAAAATGAGAAGGTGCATAGGTACCCTGTATAGTACCTACTTATTATGGCCCATATTTTACGCCAGGGATGTCATTAGTCTCAGATCGAAAAATTTAAGTAAGTAGGACATTACCTAATACGGAAATTAATGATGACCAATGTCTTGAAACTGAAATTAAATTGGTAATAGGTGAAAAAAAAAATATTGAAACTTAATAAATTGCTAAATTACGACGTCGTCCCCGTTAATAAAATTCTTTAACTTCTTAGGTAAAATAAAAAACTTTATCACCGTAGACAGAGAATAGCAGTCTCTTGCTCTGTCTACGATCAGCTCAGTTGTTGCAGCAGATGCCCATATGTATAGAGTAGACTACAGAACTGCAGCGTTTACTTTCATCAGAAGAGCCCAAAGGTTGTCTATCGTCACAGTGAAAGATTTAAAACAACAAGCATTACGAACTACTCGTATTTCTCAATAGGAAAATATGGAGTTACGAGAATCATCACATAGTAAAAAAAATTGTGACAAACGATGAAACAAAAGCGGGACGTGAATATTTGTCATTCAATGAGCATTTATAATAAGAAAATACAAGTTCGGAGCGGAACACAGCTGTCGAGGAATATGAAAAGGTAAGGTCGCAAAAAATGAAACTATATTTTATTTTACTTCCATTTTCGCTGTTCCACTAGAAAAGAACTGAGTGAATTTGCTCACTCTTTATCTCGAAGTTATACGTGTCTCTTGTCTCTTTTCTCTTTATCTCGTCTTGTCTCTTTATCTCGTCCAACCTAATTTTTTTACATCAATTTACGCGATGCCCAACCTAATTTGTTTTTTATTGATGAAATGAATTGTTAAAATATTATTCTTAGTTAGGTAGCTACCTCAATATTTACATAATCACCCCAACCGTTTGTTAGTGGCATATTAATAAAATGAAACGAATTTGTAAAATACCGAGTGATCGCAAGCACAACTGCGAAGTTATAGGGTCCGATTCCCGAGTTGGGTAAAGAAACGTTGATCTTTTTTCGAAAACTTACAAGGCACAGAGTTCGAGATTACATGCGGCGTAATAGACTCACGGGTTCACGGACTAAAATCATTTACTAAAAACATTTCTTGCCAATTCGTTGAAATAAACTCTATTTTTTGTAACGGCTACTCTTCAGTCTTCATGATCAAATTAGTGACATCTAGTGTGAAAACCATAAACTAACTGCTACTACATTCCTGTCAAAAATAAAACCGAGTACACATCAGCTTCGTTCCTTACATTAACATAATCTATCATAGATACTTAAAACGCCGTTTATAACTCTACTGACCTTTTAATTGCCAACAAAATAAAATTTATTTCTTCAAAAATGTAATATTTTCTTTATTTATTAAATTAGTATTATTTATTACCATTACGACCATTGTGAAAACCGGTAATTTCCAGTTCAGTACAAAAATAACTTGAAACGCATCCTTTTCTATATTGCACGTGTTCTCTTTGGTACAAAAGTCTATTTAGTCTATGCTTTAAAAATTGAAGTACCTTCGCTTTTGTAGTCGCGTTTTTAGCAATATCATGGCTAAAATGCTATTGTAATTCGTTAATTCTGAAGACGTGCCTGGATAATCGTCAAGAACACATAGTGTGAAAAGACAATTAGATATTTTGTACAATTATATGATTACTTGCTTTCATTTGACAAATTGCGCTAGACCGCATATTTAAAATGGCAGCCCTACCACGTAGAATAATCAAAGAGACACAGCGATTGATGCAAGAACCGGTGCCGGGAATCAGCGCGGTGCCAAGCGAAACGAATGCACGTTATTTCCATGTTATCGTCACTGGTCCAGAAGACTCGCCTTTCGAAGGAGGACTATTCAAATTAGAGTTATTTCTGCCAGAGGATTATCCTATGTCAGCGCCTAAGGTTAGGTTTATAACGAAAATATACCATCCGAACATAGATCGGCTGGGCCGTATATGCTTGGACATATTGAAGGACAAGTGGAGTCCTGCACTGCAGATTCGCACGGTGCTGCTCTCCATCCAGGCGCTACTGTCAGCACCGAACCCTGACGACCCGCTGGCCAACGACGTGGCCGAGCTGTGGAAGGTGAACGAAAGCGAAGCTATCCGGAACGCGAAGGAGTGGACGCGGAGATACGCCATGGACAACTGAACAGTGCCGCCCAGCACTCACTCACCAGTGCCTCCCCGACGCGCGCCACACGAGGACGGAACTAACATATATCATGATTTAAGAGTGCAAGTTATGTTATACACCCTAGACCGAGTAACTTGTGAAGATACAATTGTGGATAAATTTTATTATAGGTGAGCGGCACTGCGGCGCTGCGGGCGCTCATCGCTCAGGTTATCCTCCTGCATTTCGTAGCCTCGCCCCCTATTTGTCTCGGAGCGGTCCGACAGTCCCACAGGTCATTGTTTACCCGTTCACATGTAGCTTCGTTACAATATTAGGTATGCATATTTTTTTACTATCATTATAATAGCTAATAAAAGAATACCTGGAGACTTAAATGTATATATTTCATGGTTACAAATTTGGTTAATTTTATACAATGGATAGTGTTTACTGTCACAAAGTTGAATATCTTTGTAAGAGTGTTATGGAACACCAAGTCTTGAGTGCAAAATGTTATGCTTAATAAAATGATTATATCAGTTAACTGATCACTAGTGATATTGAAGTTTAATTTAATTCTTTTTTCTACATAGCAGAAGTGAATGCATTAGATGATTTAATTTTACACTTAATAAGCAAAGCGGCATGATTTCACGGGATCTTTTGTGTACTGTTTACATCTTGTATAAAAATTATCATTAAATTGTATTTATGTATATTTAATTTGGCTTTGTGAGAAACTTCAAAATACATAATATACAAAAGCTAAACCAATATTTTATTTTCAATTTTTAAATAAATTGGTTTGACAAAATTATTTATTTTAGGTTATGTTTTCATTGATCTATTGCATAGTTTGTGTTAAACTATAATATACATTTTATCACAAAACATGTTTTCCTTATAGTATACACATGAGCACTACTAACATTTCCTCCTAGGGAAAATACATATTTATTATCAAACTAGATTCTTGGCATAAACAATGAATACTCAGTATACCTAAATAACTTTGTGGTTTGTAGGAACAACGGAAGCAGCTTCCAATTGCATTGAGAATATCTTTCCAATGTGTTCCAATTGGATTTTTGTTGTTTAAAAATTTTAGACTCATCAGGCAATACAAAGAATAAATTCATTGATTGTAATCTTATCTGATTACTGTGTAGTCAATGGGTTTAAGTATCTAAGAAATGCTTTATAGTTGCAATATTCTCAACAACCACTCAGGGAGTCCGGACTCAATGTGCAGTTATAAGGTTACCTCAAATGATCCATATTGCCATGTGGGTGATTTATTCAATAAGAAAAAAAACATTGTCTTTCACCTCAACATTAGTTACTTTCAATATGTAAACAGCAATAGCAACAATGTTGCAATCATGAGACATTTTTACAAATCTGTCTGTACTCGGTGGCTACATAAACCAAGGTCATAACCGAGCTTATAAAAAGTATCTAGAAGTATATAAATAAATCTTAGAAGATAATAGAAAAACAGGTCTTTGTTTGTATTTGTTATGTTATCTTATATCTTTCTTATATCTTATATATTTAATCAATAACACTCTTTTGTTTTCTTTTGTTATCTTTATACCTAATTGTTTATGATCATATTTTTATTATTTCAAAACTTTAAATGAAAATAATAATTTGGAGACTGTAACGGAATGTGATTGAGTGGGCACAACAGTCAAAGTAAAAGTAATTAGGTTTCTAAATTCCCTACTAAGCACAATCTTAATATGTGCTTGCCTATGGCTTTTATAATATTCCCAAATAACTAATTTAGAATATGTTAAGTCAGGAATTCATCATTGGGGGTTGACGCATGTTGAACAGTGATTGTTTTGTAACTCAGTTACTGATAATGATGAGTGCCATAGTTAATCTACTTAAGGGGATTTTCTCTTTTATATTTAAAGTTATTATGAATTAGTTAATGTGGCTGTAAATAGCTATATAATTAGGGTACAAACAGAAATACTTCTAATTTTTAACTACACACTTAAGCTCAGGGATACGTATGGTATCCAAACAAGAGTTAGTAGCATGAAGAATTGGCACAGCGTGTATTTAACGGGGTGATCCGATAGAGAACTAAAGTTACCAACGTAGCCCAAAGGATTAGCAAGCTGAAATGGCTGTGGATCGGTCATATTTATCGAAGAACCGATGACCGTTGTGGTAGACGCGTTCTGGAATGGAGACCGAGTCTAGGCAAACGTAGTGTAGGACACCCTCCAGTTAGGTGGAATGATGATATCTTGCGGATATGGCTGGTATTGGTTGGATCCAATTGCTTCTGCCAGGGTGAGCCGAGAGGGAGTGTTAGATTCTTACTGACTATAAACCACCCTGTTCCTACTCCTGCACTTCGATCCGGAGCCCCGGCAAAATGCTACAAATCTAGAACCACAACATATATTTGCAAATTTGTTACATGCGAAAATCGAACCCCTGACAGCAGCAGCATCCAGTTATCAGCTTAGGAAGATCAACCTCAGCCAGAAGCAGATAGAAAATTTACCGACACGTTATGAAGATGTAGAGGAGTACCTGCTAACTCAGTAAGTAACGTCTTCTAAAATACTTTAAAGTTTAATTGAGGTAATTAGGTAGATATTGAACTTATTAAGCCTTTTTGGACGTGACAAGGGTGAATGTACAGAAGCCTTCGCTCTGGGTGAGGGTACAGATAGTGTCACATTTACTGACTAGAAACCACCCCTGCTATGTCAGGGCCTCCGTCCATAAATAGCGACCCACCCGAGACCTGGTAGGAGGCTACCTTCGTATAGAATTTAGCTTCAGTGGTTGTGGTTCAGGCAACACGCGCTGGCGGGCCGCTTTTAGACTGCTTGTTGATGGCATTCGTAGTTTTGTTAGCTAACTGGGTTCGATTCCCATGTCGAGTAAATTAATGAAATTCTCAGTATTCAGAACCCTTAGTAGATACCTACTACCCCAGCAAGTCTTGAATTAATTTTTGTCTGATATTCGATGCAGATGCATTATTCAGGTTAATTAAATTTGCTGACAATAGATGGCGTTGTGTTTAGATTTCAGCCATAAGCTAAATGCTTTTTCGATCTTTTTATGTGAGAAAAGATAGAATTAGGTAAGTAGATACGTAGGTAGTTACTGAGGATGGAGGTCCATGTCGATATCAGCACCAATCGGAACTAATAAGTTACTATCCCTAACTACTAAATACCTACATTAATTTCTTACTCAGTCGATCAGTATGTTTCATAAGTCAGTGACTGGGTGACACACGTGCCTCTGCCTAAGACCATTGCCAATCCCTACTTAATGGGTGCTATTATAATTTTACTCGCCAGATGGAGCTAGTGTGACGTCGACAACACAATTACCCGCCCCCATGGGCGCCCGGGCAACAGCGTAGTCGAGGTACACTTGCAAGACCTTAGTAGAAATGTCAATAAAATATTTGCATTATTAAAGATTCCTAGCCAAAAAATAACCATATTTTCGAACCCACTTAGGTGCCCTCCCCAGTAATATTTGACGATTGATGGAAAGGGTTGGAATGACCTTGGGTTAGGTGGGCCATCTTATAAAAATCTTCAGACACATGTAAGCTCGCAAAATAAGAGTCGATAAATGGAAGCACGAAGCTGGACTATTTTTTTAAATTGACTGCCTCACACTCACATTTTCTTCTGCCCAATTCGAAGCCGAAACACCAATTTCAGATTCATTAGAAATTAGAACCTGCGATACGTTGCTTAAATATTTCCCTGATAATTATTCTGGTGCTGCCCACGGCCATCCCGAAAATGTTTCTGAACGGGACTAATCTAAGCAGAGGCAGACTACACCTAGAGAGCGCCCTTAGCAACAAATTCATAGGCGCCCCTCATTTTTAGGAACCTGGCACCTTAGGGATAGTACGGTCTGAATCTAACAAGTGCCTTCCTTAACTGGATACGGTAAAATGGGATGAATAGGGATCGAGAGGTGAATAGACACAGAAGGTTGAATCGATACTATGAAGAATTGGCCAATATCTATTCATCCCTCTTCTGTCTCTAACATCTCGATCCTTATCCACCCCATTTTACGGTACTGGGTAAGTAATAAAACACCAAAATCAGTTTGTTCAGTTTATTCTTAACTTTAATGCAGACTAGAATAATACTCTTAGAAATGAGAACAACAATAGTTATTTCACATGTTACAGTGTACCTACCATATACCAGCTTTCACAATAAAAGGCTATTTATTATCTGTGTTTCTCAATGTAAATAAATCTTATTCACAACAGCTAGCAATACAAAATTACATCAGACTGTATACTTATTATATTTACGTTTAGTTCACGAGGGCGTGGCCAGTGTCGGGGGTCGTGGGAGTAAAGAAAATTTAAGAGTTCTGGGGATATTTTGAGCGACGATATAGGAAATAGATAAAGGGTGTTTAACATCACCTAGAAAGTTTAAAAAGGTGCTGACATTGGATTACTTATGTCGATGTTTTGCGATGTTGATACGCACACCCATAGTTGTAGGACACTGGCCGTAAGAGCAAATGAACCAAACACGAAAAAGAAGACATATTGAGGAGATATTAGTTTGGGGGGTAAATGTACGTAATCAGAAGCGGTTTATTCAAGTGTTTATATCTAAAGTGTTTATAATTAGAACTGTTAAATTATATATATTTTTATACATAAATAAATGTTGTTTACTCGTTCTCAGAGCGCTAAGCTTAGCTAAGAACACAGGGACATACATATATAGATTACATAGCTATAGCGACACTATAAAATTTACAAAATATGATATATCTTTTGAGATGCTACACGAAATAATGCTTTTTTATTACTATATTCACTAATCAATTCTTTTTTTATTCAATTTGATCACTGTAGGTCTGTGAATGTGCTGTGGCGCCGATTTTAGGATGCGTTCACTATGATAGACGCAAGTTTGTCTAGAATGAGTGCCACAGCACAGCTAGATCGTTGGACCTACTTATCTAAGCTATACATGTTTATATCTGAACTGAATGACTCAATTTGAACTATGGTGCACTTTTATTCGTAAGAAATATTTGTTTAAATAATGAAACTTAACGTCGATTTGTCAGAGTATACATAGAACTAAACATTATGATAATGGAATGGTTTGATTGCTAACAGGCATGAACGGTGACACAGAAATAAATAATACAACTACATGTATGTTCCCTCACATAATTCACCTAAAACCTATAGTTTCACACAAAAACAATAATAAATTAAACATAAATTTCGAGATACACATCCAAATACGTACGTAAAAAAAGGATAACACCACAAAAATTAAAAACTTTACCGATCCACTTAAACGAATACAATTCCTAATCAGATTCGATCTAGGTACATAACAAAGAAAAAATATGGCAAACAACATCACGACATAATCATAATTCGAAAATAAATTGTTCATTTTACAACAGGAGCAAAACATCGCGAATGTTTTCTGAATTAATTTGTTTATTTAATACAAATATCTAAGCAGATATGAATGGGATCTGATATTCTTCATAAATACAATAAGTGGAGTATGTATACACATTGTCATGACGATCAAAGAATAACAACATGTATTTTTAATTACGAGGCAAAAGTATTTCATAATGTATTTATTTTTACTCTGTGGTGAGATATATAGAGCATGTTTGTATTCGTAATTATAAATACATGGTGTTTGAATAGAGAGATAATACAACTTATATTCTATCTTATTAGCCACGAAAGCATTGTAAGCATTGAAACTCATCACATATGTTTATTGAGTATTTTATCAGCTAAGCTTGAGTTTGGCCCTATCCTCGCTATATAAAATTATACTTTTTCTTGTATTTTATTGTACCTTGTTAGAGGTACTTGTTTTATGTACTTTTTATTAAGAAATTAATGTGTTAACGATTACATTTTATGTGTTATTTGAATGTAAACGAAAACGAACGCTTTTGCAAAGAATCACCGACCTCAAGCTCACTCATAACTGACTGAAATAGAGCTTGTTCGTGTATTTCCATTGGTTACAGCACTCATTTATGTACTTCGACTATCTTCACAAAATCATTTAAAATATGTACTTTTGTTTACACAAATCATTCGAGACAACATTAATACTATTCGTACTAAATTATAATTACAAGACAGTCGAAGTTCATAGCTCGTAGAACAATATTAAAATGGTGTTAGAAAGCTTACTTAACAGTTACATTATTTCCAGGATTACTATTTAACTTGTTATATGGTCATCTATATTTATTTAACACGGGATATCTACGGGGTTTTTGTTATAAATCTATATTATAATGTGCAGACATTTTTTTAATAATTGGTCAACGTTCGAAGTTAATAGATTATTGTACATTTGTCACTAAATTAATGGCCGATAGCCATCTAAGTTGACGTACCTAGTTAACGCAAAATTAAATAAACATGACCAATCATTAGAAACTCCTGCACAGCTGTTTAATGTATATTATACACAAAATATATAATATTTACAAACCTAATTCCTCCACTGCTATGAAGTTAGCGTCGAAACATAGTTGCGCAACTTAACCTTCAGTTAGCGCAACTGCGCATGACTTGCGCAAACTTCAGAATAGTTGAGATTTTAGCGGCGATTATATTTTTTTATAATATTAATCGGCAGTATTAAGTTGCGGGTTATTTTGCGAGGCTAGGGCCGTGTGGCGGTGCTGAGTGGGCGTAATGTAATATCGTAGTAAGCAGGCACTTGAGACGCGGCGGCGGCGCGCGTTATATGAACACCGGGTTCTCCTGGCCGGTCAGCAGCCTGAACATCGACGTCGGCATCGTCTTCATCAATATCTGAGGATTATATAACCGATTTTAAGTTCTTTTTGCATGTGTTTTGTATAAGGAAGAATTTAATTTAATTTCATCTTGAAGTTTAGTTAAGGCTATGAAACTGAACAAATTGTAGTAAACTTTTGTTTTTCGCAAGACGTATGTTGTCTTCACTTGTAATTAATTACATTTAAAAAAAACGTTGCCCCACACTAGGATTTTCTCCTGTGTCGTGGGTGCGTTAACAAACATACAAGTTCACATACACATGACACCCAGACCTGGAACAGCAATCTGTGAATCACACAAAGTGTTGTTCCGTGCGGGAATCGAACCCGCGATACGTTGCGCGGCAGCCAGTTGCCCAGCCATCGCACCAACCGTGCAGTCAGTTTATTATACTAATGTGTAATAAAAATATAATGTAAAGCTAAGTACCTCTCCGACGGAGGTGGCGAGTAAGTTGACGATCCGTTCGTGTGGGACGGCGACGACGCTCTGTGAGTTGATCTCAATGATGCGATGTCCCACTCGCACTCCGCCGCGCTCTGCTATACCGCCGCGGAGCAGGCTGCAGATCTAGAATTACAAATAGCATAGTCATTAAGGACATAGTATAAACACTAATGAAAGCAAACATTTTCCAAATTTACAATAACAGGCCATTCCATAATATCCAGTTTGAAGTTAGTGCCTAAACTGTTGCTACAAGACTATATTAGACACTAAGAAAAAATGATTACGTTGAATTTACTGGACCTATTAGAAAAGCTCTTCCATCATAAAAAAGCTAGTTTTTTAGGTGGATTTACAATGGATTCTTATTTATTTGTACAGAATCGGGACTTATTCAGGAAGAATCGTCTAAATTTTAGCAATCCAGAAAGCGAGCCGCGGAAGACTTTACGTGTTGCCGGGGCTCCGGCTTGAAGTGCAGGAGTAGGAACGGGGTGGTTTTTAGTCAGTAAGAATCTGACACTCCCTTCCGCCTCACCCAGGTGGGAGAAGTCATTCGATGATTTTTCCCTTAAAAAAAGGCCAGAAAGCAAAAGATCGTATATCGCTTACCACCAGGCGAGAAAGCAAACAAACGTCGGTCCATCAAATACAAAAAACAAAATGAAATGATAAAATTGATAGACTTACAACTCCATTCTGCACGCTGAATCCAAGTTGGTACTTGGTGTCTGGTCTCTTGATCTTGACCTCGACCACAGGCGCGCAAGGAACCACGGTCAGCTTGACCACGGTTTGGTTCTTGGAGTTCTTTATATACGTCTGACAAGTCGATAGTGGCAGCCCTACTAAGCTTACTCCGTTTATTGCTATTATTTGATCGCCTGGAATGCAAAAAAGATTTAATTTTGGAGAGATCTTGTTAATTTCTTTGCTACATTTTGACGCTGTTTCTGTGGCATTAAAACAGAGCTGATCTTTAGTTGTATTATCATTGTAATATACATGATCTAAACCACTTATTTCCACAATATAATCAAAATAGAAATTTTTGCTCAGTAGATATACCTAACATCTTTGACTTTGGATATAAATCTTTTGCATATTGCGAACCTTATACATAACCTTTACGAATGAGCCGATAAGGTAGTAATTAGAAAAACCGATAAGGTAATAATTAGTAAGTAGCATTTACCTATATTAAGTTGTCCACATCGCGCGGCAGCCCCGGCGGGCGCCAGGTTGGCAATGACCACGGTGGGCAACATGGAGCCCCAACCTGACTCCACCACCACCACGCCTAGAATCTCACCCTTTGTCTTCGGGACCACCACCTGTGGAGATTTAAAGACTTAGGCTTAGCACAATATTATACAAAACAAGCTAGGTTAAGTTTTTCCATGAAAAAAAAATAAAGAAAAAAAATTTTTGTTTAAGGTATCCTTCTAAAATTCGCTTAATTTCCATTAGTTATGAAAGTGATAAAATCCTCTATGCAGCTGAAACCGTGACTTGGGCGTCGAACATAGAAAGTTTTGTTAAGCAGTCGTAGTTGCGATTGTGACCATTCATCAATCCATTAGTCAAATGACTTTAAACCAATCATCGAACAAAGCCGTTGAAAAAAAGACGGACATAATGTCACTTAGAAATGATTGAAGCACCAAAATGTCAGAGGGTTATTTATGTGTGCGTGTGTAATGGGTTACCACGTTACCAGACTTGAGAATGCCAGATGTCCTTCGTGTCAATGTGTGTGTGTATTCTGCGTGTAAGTCTATAGTAACCAGGTGTCACAGTCGTTGTTCCAAGAGATTGTGTCCGCCTTTTTTTCATAGTCCTTGTCATCGACTATCACTTTTTAAGCTGTCATTGAATAAGCGCACCATAAGAGTGAAAGAGACAACTCTTTTTTTTAAGGGGGGAAAATCGTCGAACCACTTCACCCGCCTGGATGAGGCGGAAGGGAGTGTCAGACTCTTACTGACTAAAAACTACCCCGTTCCTACTCCTGCACTTCCGAACCGGAGCCACGTTAGGTTCTCCGCGGCTCCGTATCGGTATCAGCCCTATTGGGCCCCATCTGTGGTGGTCTGATGGCTCTTTGAGGCGCGCGTGGAACGTTACGCGCCGTAAGGAGACAACACTAAGTAAATAAGTATCTATCGACAACGTAACTTACCTCTTTCTGCAATTCCTTTTTAGCAAACATTTGTAACTCGTCCCCAAATATCTCCTGACTGTTCAAAACTTCTTGGTAGTCCATTTCTTTGACGAAACTATGGTCTTCTATTCCATTCGCCTTTAGGAACTCCATGTAGGCAACCTGGAACGCCTGGCCTATAGACTGAGCTATAAATTGTGCCTGAAACAATTTATTTTCATTATTATTTTGAACAAACAACTTCATCTTAAACCAAAGCAAAATTCTATGAACTTTGAAACAGATTCCTCAATGTTAATTTTCATAACTAACTTCTCTTTAAAATAAGGTCTAAATTAGCGTGTCTTTGCCTTATCTGGTCACGTTTCAATGAATCCAATAACCACGAATTTGTTCAATGAAGCGTGGTCGTAATATCTTCAGAAATCGTTTACAATAAGAGGTGACACTCTACTAACTTGTAGTAATGTAAAGTATTCGGACAACCGCATATAAAGATACACTTATCTGTCAAACTTCTTTAATACATTTTCTACCTTAATGACATTGAAATAGGCTTAGAAATGTATTGAAGAATTGAAGGCGTCTGTGTCTAGATAAATACTGCTGTTATCAATGTTTATTTTATTTTGTAAAGATTAGAATTTGAGGTTAGGTGGCGTTTGCTGTAGATGCTTTTGCATCTTATCTTTAGGTTGAGGTTTAAGGTCCTTTTTGTTTACAAATACAGGTTGTACTGTCATGGACATTATGTGTATAATAGTGTATTATAATGTGAAAAACATACAGCCCCTTTTAAACGTCACTTTATTAATTGGCAGGTACAATGTTTTCTACTTGTAGGTCTGATGTGCCTATATTTATTGGTCTAATTCATTTTTGCATCAAAAGAAATAGTATAGATATTAAATCTAAATAAAATAAAACATACAAGTCTTACCTCTTCACTCTCAAAAACATGGCAGATCATTTTCGGCGTGCGGTTCAATTTAGGCTGGTCGGAATCGTTCTCATGTGGAACAAACCTTCTCCTAGCCATGAGGACGACCAGATCACCTATATCCGCGATGTAAGATATAGTCCTCAATGCATGGTCCATCATAATTTCCTTTAGTTCAGTGTTTAAGACCATTATCTTCTCCGTAGATATAAAGAGGTCCACTTCTGTACTTGGTTGGTTTTCGCCCTCAGGTGCCTGGAATTTAGAGTGGTATTTCTATGATATTCGCTTACACGGGCCGGCTGTATCTCCAGAGTTTACAAGGACAAGCTTCTGATAGACTGGCGAGTGAATTAGCACCGATTCTAATAACATTGACTACTAAGTACCAAGCACATTGATGTTTCTCTTTGAAAAAGGAAGGTGTGAAAGAGACAGGTGATCACACAAAATTAAAGTTTATATATTGTTGTATTCCTACATTATATCATTTGAATCTATTCTATCGACGAAATTCGTCTGAAGTACAATCTGCCTAGAATCGGAGCGATTATTCCACAAAGCAAGCTCGTAAAATGATATCATGGATGTATTGTACTGAAAATTCTCGTCGCACTAAATAGAATCGAGTTAAATGGTTCTCAGAAAAATTCTCTTTAGTCAAAGTCAAAGTCAAAATCATTTATTTCAATTAAACCAGGAAGGCACTTTTGAACGTCAACAACAAAAAACTTTAACTTTACTTAACAACAAAAAAAATTAGAAGTGAAGCTAGTTGCTCATTCCAAGGTGTAGATTCCTATGGAGAAGAACGAGCAAGGAACTCCATACTCTTTTTCAATCCGGTTTACAATACAATTCTCTAGTTACATAGTTTTGTTCGTTCGAATCATCTGTTTCTGATTTTCAACCGATACTGATTTGGGCAGATAAGTAAATAGATAAATCTTTTAAACTATGCAGCGCACAAGGGCATTTAATTAGGAATGACACGTGGAAAAGTTTGTGCGGCAATATTGTGTAGTAATATCGTGTTATAATGAAGATATCGCTGTCGCATTACACTCAGCAGTGGCGGATTACTGAATGAGAACAAAAACAAAGCAATGATGGCACAAACAAATTGCTTTCTAAACGGCAATGGAATGGTACAGCTGTGTCAAGCAGAAAAATAAGGTACTCTTAATCCGCCACCACGATACAGTGAAGTTAATTTTGTTAGAAATTTTGACACTTACCAAAGCCTGATTACCCAAGACAGCGAAAAGGGAATAACGATAATGTTAGTACAATGAAGTGGCAACACTTAAATATAACAACACGTTTATTCAAGTCTTCAACTGGCTACTTGTAAGATTATTGTTAAAGTTTTACTAAATTATAAAATGCTGCAAATTTTTTGTCAATCTGAAGACCTCAATAAACAAATAACACACATAACCAAGATGAATAAATTTTACTGGCAACACCGATAAATACTTGCTATTGATATGAATCATAAGCTTCCGTGAAATTTGATATAACGGCCGAGTAAATTATCCTATAACTTTAAACTATAAAATTATCCTATACATTACGTTGATTTTCATTGAATTTTCTAATGTAAGAGAAGCTTAATAAATGGCAATAAAACTAAGTGTTAAAGCATGAATGTTGCCAATGTGAAAAATCCTCTAAAAAGTTCAATTACATTGAAAAACCGTAATAAAATTCAACAGGAGACGTATTGTAAGAGCCTAAACATAATATGTCAGCCAAACCACCTTAATCTTAGTGACGGCTTCCTCTACCATGTTCTTTTTGGGTCGCTTCTTGCGTCGGCGCGAGTCCTCGTCGACCTCGACCGAGCCCAGGAAGGAGAGTCGGAAGACGGCGGCCGGAGCGGCGTACACGCCGGAGTACGGCCCGTCGCAGCCCCACTGTGACATGAGCCATGCCGGCTAACCTCCTCGGACGTTCTCACATTGTTGGCGTGTATTCGATTTGTTTTGTTTTTTATTTTTATGAAGATTTTATGGTTTTATTTTAAAACTTTTTTTAAAAATTTTAAAAATTTAGGCTGTTGTATGAAATGAAGTTTAAAAATTTAAATTCAAAAGAGTAATTAAGAACCCGAAGCAACCTTGACTTTGGAAGTATTATTAATGTATGACAACTGTATCAACAGTATTCCAGTTGAACCGTTTCGCTTAACTACCAGTTTGTTTTTTTTAATAAGACATTCTTTAATTTTGTTAGATACTATTGTAACACTAACCGGTTTTATAGATGGCTATATCGTGTTTCTGAATGAATAAGTGTTACTACATAATTTGAAACTAATGCGACTCCTGGTGTTAATTTGTTTCAATTGTAAAATTTTAAAATTTTCGCAAGATTTAAAACCGTTCTTAAATTTTTGTTCAAATTTGTTGTTTAAATTTTGTCACAATGTCAATGTTAAGGCAATTTAATTTTAAGCACGAACCCTTGTTTGGCTTGCTTTTCAAACGCTTTCTGGACGAAACCAATGTTAGCAAAATGATCAAAAATTTGCGCGGCAAAGCAAGCAAAACAACTCGAATACAAACACACAATGATTCTGTGAGAAGCGAGCGAATCCACCGGTCGTTAGTATGAAAGCAGACCTAACGAATTAACCTTATTAGTAGAACAGGGAGATCGAGTGCGTAGCAGTAAGCGCTCCGCGATGTAGTGCCTCATGTCGCCAGGCCACCGCCGCCGGTGTGAATCGGGTATGTTACATGCTATATTGTGCATATTATGAAATAGTGCATGGATAAAAAGCATCCGTACCGGTTTGTGATGTAGGTAAGTACTTCCATTGGACACGGTTTATCGAGTTATGTCTATGAAGAACATACAGATCTGGAACATAATCTTTTTTCATCATAAACACAACTCGATGGAATACGAAAGTACGTTTGTTACTCATAAACAGCCCGAAATTGGAACATGCCAAGGTAAAAGTCTAGCACAGCACAATATGATCGCATACTCGGAGCTTACCTTGCAGTGCCCTACACAAGGGCCCAAATGATACAAAGCATTAGCGACAAGCGGAACAGAAAGCGACAGATAAACAAACATTTTCATAGGAGGCTAGCCGGCCAATACGGGATCCGACAATCTTCTTGGGTCGGGTCGAGGGGTGAGGAACACACTGAAAAAAATACTCTAGTGCCAAGTCAATAAGAGCTCGAACGGTTTGGCGGACAGGTCGTGGATGGCTCAGACATTTCAAAATAAACATACACAGGGCAAAGTCCCGGTAATTTACGTTCTAGCATCTAAATATTGTTTTGTTCGTTTATAAAAGGGTATGAAGGATATCCCACTAGCATTCTCAATACACTAATCCTAATGAGCATGAAATTACATATGTACAAGATGACCGTGATAGGTAAGTAGGTACATAGAAAGAGTTGCGTGCAAATAGAAGAGTTTGCGTGCCATTGCTTCACGCGTTTGGATAGAGATGTGAAAGGGATTCGTCAAGAGCTCGACTAGAGGTGGTTGGAGTCGATAGAATAGTGTTGACAAAAGTTCAATTTTGACTGAGCTTGAGTTATACAACGGTTTTGGAGATTACAATTATAATTTAGAGCTTGTTAAGTGAGATAATTTTACATAAGGATTAGATTTGGATACAGATAGAATTGTAAAATTATCGCACCGTACAAGCCTTATGATTTGCAAACAATACTTTTTTTAATCACAAATAAATAGTTTTTAAGTGTCATAGTTGTATAACGAAGCCAGTAATGCCAATCTCAAGAAGAGTGCTAGAATAAGAGTGGGACAGAAAGTGACAAGTAATTTCATGCTCTCGCTCAATAAACATCTACAAAGATACAAACATTTTACATTATATACCGATTCACACGGGCAAACGGTAAGTTGCTCAACTGTGTCTTTATGAGAATGCAAGGTTCAAACACGGAAGTTAGCAACCCTGGACTTTTTGTTAGTGGCAACCCTTAAAGGTTGGGATTAAAAAGTAAAATAATAATTTTATTATTAAAGACAGCACACCAAGGTAACCCAATGTGTCAAAATTCTTATAGACTTTCAACTGTATTGTTTTGTGATAAAGTTAAAAAATCATTAAAGAAATGGGACTGTTTGGGTAGCTTGATGTGCTAGCGTTTGTATATTCTCAGAATTTAGTAGTTACATCAAATAAATATTAAGTAAATAAAAAATGAAACAAAACAAAACCAAACAAGACATCACTTGAAAAATAACGGCCCAAAACCTATAGATAAGTTGATAAAAAATGGGGTTTAGTTTAATGACAAAAAAGAACTGATAATATAGAGGTAATTATTTCGTTAGTCAATGGAAAAATATTAATCAGGGGGTTAATAAAATTGATTAAAAAGAATCCAGGTTCAATACAATACCTTGATTCTAGACACGGCTTCTTCAGCTTGTAGCATCCTGGTGGCTTTGGTGGGCTGCCCCTCGCAAGCCAGTTGTGTGGATCCAAGGTACCGGGCGCGGAACAATACGCCTTCTATGAGCACTGAACGGTTTACATCTGTGGAGCAAAGTGCGCTGTTTCAAATAATATTTCTGTCAATTTAGCTAAGAATTATTTTTTTTGGTTTTATGGCGATTTTTAAAGGATATTATTTGTTTTTAAACAGTTATACGAAGGTTTAAAAAGTTTTGTTGGAAGTTGGAATAAGGATTTAGTATTTACACATGTGTTAGTATTTTTTTCTTTAATATATCGCCAATCTGGTCACTATATGTCCGTCTAGGGCGATTGATGACTGTTAATGAAGCGAAAGAGGTATGTAAGAATCGTAGTAATTGGCGTTCCTTAGTCTCTGCCTACCCCCATGGGAGACAGGCGTGAAGTTATGTATGTATGTATTAGTATTTTTTTAACTATTTTCAATACATATTATTATATATTATTATACAAGGTATGAATAGAATAGAATAGAACAGATTATCTATTTGCAATGAAGGTATTGAATAGCTTTGTATGTTGATGTCTACAAAAGAATTTTTTGGACTTTCGCTTGTAAAAAATTGGTAAAATCTTTGTTATCTAAAACTCACCATGGACAAAATCCAAAGGCAGCATAAAATAGATAAATAGATTTAGTCGGTTTTGTTCCAATACTATATATGTAATTAATTATTGTTCTCAGAACTTACCTTCTTTATTTTTACTCTTTTTCTTCCCGTCTTTGTCCTGAAAAGAAAAACATTTTCATCACAATTTTGCAAAACGTGTAAATATTGAAAAAAAAAGTACATGGACTACATCATTACAGATTTGTAATTGTTGAACTAACTACAATGAATTATTCGACCATAATAAGAAGATTATCCAATCTGGATCATTTTAGTCTTAGTTAATCTCCCTATTGTCCACTAATATACTTTTTGAAACTTAAAGAAACGGACGCGATCAGTTGGCTTGATATTTTTGAGCGAACTGAAAAACAAAACAAAACGATTCGCATTCACGTAGGACATAGCCGACGCGTCGCATCGCATCGCTTTGATTTCGCGTGTGTCTTACGCAGGATGTAGCGTTATTATGTCTGTACTTTTTTAATATTCTAGACTTCGTTGCTCCTAAACCTACCTTTAACTTCAATATAAATTTATTTATTTAATGGAATATATATCCAATACGATAGTTTGGCCATCAGTCTTACAAATACTTTCAGTATTTACTTATTATCTAATTACATTAAATTTTAATTTATGACTTTTACTAACTTAGATACAACAATTCGGATGAAAACAATAAAGTTCCCCATTAAAATATAACTGTTTAAGTTGAATATTTAAAACTATAAGTAACTATGTACAAGTAAATGGTTACCTTTCCATTGTGTAGTGCCTCTTCGTCCCGGTTGTCTGTGGAGTCGTGTGCATGTGGTGAGCGCGCCGCCACCACGCTGCCGCCCGGCATCACCGTACGGGATTTTGGTTTGCGCCATCCCTAACACAAACATATTAGAATTAGAGTTAATATCGTATAGGATTTAAACGACTTTGAGCTTTGGGTAGACATACATTCTTTATTTAAACAAACAATTCACAATAATAGGGATAAATATAAGACGCGTTTTGTTTATGTCGTACAAGAACGAATAAATTTAGATAAAACGAATCAAAGTGTAGGAGTGGGAGTAAAAACGTCATTTCTACATATAAAACGTACCTAGAAGTGACGTCACGCGACATTTCAAATCAATATATCGAAAATAAAAAAGAAAAGAAAATAATATTTTAAAATAATCGACCAGACGGACTTAAAAAATAAAAATTAGTCATCTTCCCTATTCATTATTGGATTCCAGGCCGCTTCTATAATGAATTGTCATAATTTGCCCAATGTCTATCAAATACCTATGTACTCTAGTTGACCGGCTCTATGACACTCACGGCACGGGACGAATAGGGTGGTGAAAAATGCATTCTATTCTATACTGTAAGTGTCTTTAAACTTGTCTAAAAACCCACTTTAACTTATCTAAAATAAGGTATGCCAAATCCAACGTATTAATTTGATTGGAACAAAATTGCACTCATTACAACTTCATACAGACGCTATTGTTCATTGAAATTAATTTGGAGCTCCGTTACTTGGAACTCATCAGCCTAAATACTTGTACAGCCAGTAAATGGACCTATTCCAATGATATTTTTATTGGATTTTCGACTTTAATACCAAAACTTTAAAGTTAAAAATATCATAATGATATTCAACAACAAGGAGTAACTTGACCTGGTCACAGAACAAAGTATGAGCGGTCGGGTCAAATCTTGACCCGTCTTGTCATTGAGATGCGTTTGCGACTCGAAATGTAGACGTTTTAAAGTGATATTGTTAATTATTTAGATTATGTCCATTCTACTGTTAATTAGGGTGGTTATTAAGATCTTAACCCTTTGAGTACTATCATTATAGACACAATTAAAGAACAATAGGTTGCGGTCACCGGTGTCCTCGCGGTGTTTGACAGTTTAATTGATCTGTTTGTCAAAATTAAATTTGCGTTCTGTTACGAATATGGCGCTCCGGGAGTCCCTTTTGGAAATGACACCACAAGTGCTGCTAATAATTTCTGGAGTTTTTGAGAGTAAAATAATAGTAGAAAATATGTAAGTACCTATTGTTTTTTATCGCAAAGTTTTGTTGACAATCTATACAGTGCTTAGAATTTGCATTCAGACCAATACAATGAATCTGCTATGAGAAAAATGTCTAAAATAAACATCTTTGTTTAATTCCGATTATTATCTGTGTTCTTGAAATATCTACCTAACGAATACTGGCGCATACTACGTAGGTTATAACAAGTAGAGAATAATGATTACAAGAACGAAGAAAAATAACATAGATCATAATGATTGTGTAAAAATTGTAACTTCATTTTTAAAACAAATTCCCGCCATGAACATCTAAAATAGATTACCTACGTCATTTTTAAGATAATATTTTCTTGATTCCTAAAATTTTATATACATATTTTTTAATTTTAGGTTATTAGAAACTGAGTTTTTGTAGCTGGTAACCGTGAAAAGAAAGTGCAGATAAATTGTAACGTGTGTTTATGTTGTAAAATAATCTCGCAACTTTATTAAATATTTTCGTTTTATTGTATTAATAACATTTCAATATTCAGTATACACATGTACTACGTGAGCGTACTGAATACAATAAATATTAAGGACCAAATTTCAATGCTCAAATAAATTTTAACTGAGGATCGACATTTAATATTTGACAATTCTTCCTTACTAAAAACTGTCACATGTCAATTTTATTCTACAGTTAAGAAATAATTGAATTGGCTCTAAATAAATTAATATATAATTTCCCCCTTACATCATTTGTCTTTGAAATAAATTTTATTTATTCATTAATTAACACGCAAACATTTTAACCTGACGAAATTCCCAAATTGTTGTTGAGTAAGTTACTATATTTACTATTATTACATTAAGTTGAATTTTCAAACTTGTTATTTTGCAATAAAGTTCTGATTACAAAAAAAATTGCATGTATACTCTACTTCATTATTAATTTCATCGTTGTTACCTACTATTACGTATAAAAACACTCTAACCTTTCCTTCCTTTGCATCATCAACGCCTGAATCATCAATTGTATCCTTTAACTCCACGCCAACATTTGACTCACTATCAACACAAGTTTTAATATCCACATCCTTTTTACTCTCGTTTTCATTATCTGTAATCACATCACTAGATTCCACTGCTTCATTTAAACTAACTTCACTAATTTTACCAACATTATCCACTATTTCACTATTCGCTACATCATCTACTATTTTATCATTTAAACTTTCTTCATTTTCACTTAAAAGTTGACATCGAACGTCTGTCGAACAATTTTCTTTCACTTCACTTTCATTGTCGTCCACTGCAATTTCAGCTTTAGCATCATTTAAACAGGGCTGTCTTTCATCTTCAGTCATTTTAACACGGCTACGTTTGGCGTTGAATTTCGCGTAACTGAGCGTTCGATATGGTTTTATCAGTGCACTTGGTCATTTCCCATGCGATAATGATACTATATTGAGGTACGCGTCTGTGTGTACTTCGGTACATGAGTTCTACTATACTGATCTGCCGCCGTGTTATGCTAAGTTAACAGATGTATGACCAAAGACTATATAGAACACAGACCTGAGATATACGCACAATACTTCTGCGGACGTGTTTTAAAAATAATATGGTGAATAAATTACTGCTAAGTGAAGGACGTATGAAGATTAATTTTCATGTATCGACTGGGTGATAACAGTTTATTATGTGATAAGGATAAATATAGATAGTGTTTATTATAGGCATAGTATAAAGAACAAAGTAGGTTATCTTCATACAAATGCTCCGCGCGCGGCTTATATGTGTGCGCCATAGTATCTATGCGTCGACGCACGCACACTTTAACAAAATCTCGACCCGTTTCTCAGTGCGCCAGGCAGGGCTAACACTGCACGAGGTTCGCGCGCGCTTCACGGCTTTTCGGCAATGTTCAATGAAATAAAAAATGTCTGATAATCGTAGAAGAACGTATTGCTGTGTGTTTGGGTGTCTTAATAATTAATCGATTACAGAACTGTCTCTGTTCAGATTAGGTACCTATTGAACAGGAAAGGTAAGCTAGTCACTTTTTCTAGCATAATATAATTTGTAGGTACTTGATGATGAAATACCTACCTACTTACTTATTCTTACTCTTATCATTCTTCATAGTTCCTACTCAACCAGAAATCTAATTACCTACTATACTTAAATATTATAAGAAAATGTGGTATTGTATCTATTGTTTATTTCACAGTTTATCTGATTTGTTAAGAGCGTAGCCGAGTCGCATTTTTCCATATAAATATATTCCCAAATTTACTTTCTGAATACTATGTATAGAGCTAAAGTTTATTTTAAGAAGTTAATAATCTTTTTATAAGCTTTTTATTTTTACTAAATTTATAAATTGATAAAATATTCAATCATAATATGCTTTTCATTTCATAAATTTAGATCAAGTGCTGCTTGTTCGAAAATATTAACTAAAAGTAAAAGTGACAACCCTGGGGATCAACGCAAGAGTAGGCTAATAACTCGGCGGGCGGCCTTAGATAACCTACTGTGTTCTTTATACTATGTTATAGGTGTTGTGTGGTTAGGTAATAAAAGTTTGGACACGTGTGTGTGTGTATAATATTACATATTAGAGAGTTGTATGGTAGTGTTGTTAGGGAAAAGAATGATAATAATAAGCATAGGACAAATAGGATTTTTAATCAATGAATGTTTGAATGCAGTAAGAGACTATGGAATATTTTAACTGTGTATGGGAATAAGCTGGCATAACATTGTTAATCACTATAAAAGGTATTTGTATTACTAATAAAGTTAGTAAAATAAATTTACATCATATATTCTCAATTTCAATTACAAATTGGCAACTCAACATCACAGAATCACAATCCAAGTAGGCACAATACTAAAAGCGCGTCTGTATAAATCTAATCATCGTTCAAGAATAATAGTCGAACAAGGTCGGTGCGCGTGCGCCGCTGACTCGACTCTTGTGTTTATACTCACAGCTGATGGTTGCGTCATGCTCATTTAATGGGTAGGCGGTATTCTTGGACTAATTAATAACAGGTTCCTAGTGGCACATCAAGATATGTCAATTGGCTTTAGATTTTCGACTTTATGACCTTTGTCACAGAGTTTGTTTATATTTTTGGGGTAGCTCGATGTGTTGTATGTTTGTAAATGCATGCTGCAGTATTGTGAATTGAAATGTAACTTGTGGAGTTTTAAAATAAGGTGTTTGAGAGACTAGTTATTTTTTAAATTGTTTTGTTGCTAATTTGAAAGCAGGCTACATTTTATTAGAAAAAAGAAAAAACATAGAAAGAGTAAAGAGTTAGGATGTTCTAACGCTTGAATTTTTTTCTATAGAAATAGTATCTAAATATTTATTTCACCTTCTAATAATATAGCAATGAATTACCATATCGGTAACATTTATAGCTTTCAACACACCAATTGTATTTATCAACAACATTTCTAAATGAAAAACCAGTCGAACACGTTTTAACATATTCGATTGTTTCTATTTATAGTTGCAACAATATGTATATTGTAGTAACACAAGTTCTTTATTAATTTGGTTTTACACTGTACACTGTATGCCTTCACCCTCAGCGGTTTAACTCATTGAGTACCGTCATTATAGACACAATTAAAGAACAATAGGTTGCGGTCACCGGTGACCGCTTGGTGTTTGACAGTTTAAAGGGCATTTATTTAGATAAACAACTAGATAATGTCCAAAAAACAAGAATTCCTAAAACATTTAACTCAAACAGCTACATTACATCAAAACAAGACTAAACTGGACCACAATTTTCCTGTTTTGTGCACCTAACACGGTAACACAAGTCGTTTCTGACTCATTTACGTTGAATGACACAAATTTAAAATCTTTATATGGCGTAAATCGGTTGGGGCACGTTCATACATAAAAGATACACATATTTTACATGGTAAGAGACCATGTTTTTGTCACATATGTACATATTTAGGTACGAAACGTTGTCTGATTAACACAATATGTGTTCAAGGTCATTTGTGGAGTTCATGTGTTTTAATGTGTTTCAATTTAAATGTAAAAGTGTAGATGTCTGAAGACGAATCAATGATTGAGTTGTATTGTCATAATAATATCAGTTACTAGCTGACCAAGCCAATTTTGTACCGCCTAAAATATTTTTTTCTGATGTTTTAAACCTTCCCTGGACTAACACGAACATTTCGAGGCCAAAATCACCCAAATCCGTTCAGGCGTTCTCGAGTTTTAGTGAGACTAACGAACGGAATTAAATTTGTTTAATGTAGATTTGCCTCGTGGATGTCATAAAAGCCGACGAACTTCATATTAAACAGGTAGATTGCTTCTGATAAACTTGCATCTTTTTCGCAGAATATTCTCAAACTCGTTATGTAAGCGGAGAAATTATGGCTAACCTTCGTCAGTAGAAGAGGCCTGTCTGTAGTCAAACAGTAAACTGTCGATTTCATTTGGTACTAGCAACGCCCAGCGGCTTCGCTCTCATTCTCATGAGACAATAATTATTTTTAACCGACTTCAAAAAAAGGAGGATCTCAGTTTTATCTGTATATATGTGTTTGTGCGAGCTTATCTCGCGATTGGATGAACCACTTTTGATGCGGTTTACCGAGTGTAACCACGTTTAAAAAATCTGACTTCTTTAATTGAAGACGTTGAATTAATATACTGAAACCGTCTCCTAAATGTAACAAATACTTTTCTGGAAACCGCATCAAAATCGGATCAGCAAATTGCGAGATAATGACGCACAAACATATATACATATATAAAGGTAAAATTGAGATCATCCTTTTTTTGAAGTCGGTTAAAAAGAATTATTGTCTCATGAGAATGTCTCATACAGGTCAAATTGTACACCTACTTAAGTCGTTTAAAAAGTAACCTAATTGGTATTCCTAACTTTAATCTACCCCTGTTCCAAATTTCCACCCGATCCCTTCACCCGTATTGATGTGATTGAGTGCCGAACATACACACAAACCTTTGTATCACTACATAGTATAAAACAAAGTCGCTATCCGCAGTCTGTCTGTCCCTATGTATGCTTAGATCTTTAAAATTACGCAACGTATTTTGATGCGGTTTTTTTAAAAGATAGGTAGTGATTCTTAAGGAAGGTTTATACGTATAATAATACATACACCCGTGCGAAGCCGGGGCGGGTCGCTAGTTTATAATATTAGTAAGATTCTAAGTTGATTACAACAGCTTTCCTATAAAATTTGTGCCTTTCATCTGGCAAAAATCATACAAATAGTAATTGAAGATTAACCTCTGGAGCGTCCTTATGAGCACCCGGTGGATCATAAGAAAAAATGCTCCATGCTGCTTTCTCTTTTATAAAATCTATTATTAATGTTTTGTTTTTATTTTGACTGTATTTTTTATTTCTATTGTAATGATCCTAGTTTTCGTGTGCCAATGGCTAAATAAATGCATTTTCTTTCTTTATTTCTTTCTTTCTCCAAATGTCACGTGTGCACCCGTTGGATCATATGGAACGCGGACGCTCGACGGGTTAATACAAATCTCTGACTTACCTTGTCGTCGAAGAATCCTTGATCGTCCGTTCTCTGCTGTCCAAGTAATCTGTCAGTCTCAAGGTCTGTGTCGGCTTCATCTGGAAACAACCACTATGTGAGTCTTGGTGCATTTGCGTAAACAAGGCTATTTGTTTCTGTCGAGTCAACAATCATAGTTTAGTCGGAGTTATAAATCTATGTACCTACTTCTAATTATCATCTATTTGTTGTAAATTTGTTTTAATTTTCTTCTATAATCTTACATAACATAACATCACGCCTTTTATCCCCGAAGGGGTTTTTTTTTAAGGCGGGAAAATCATCGAATGACTGCTCCCGATCCCCGAAGGGGTAGGCAGACATTACGGCTATTAATACCACTGTACAATGTAACACCAAATTTTCACTATTTATGTTATAAGTCCAATGTAATAGGGGATGACCGTATTGTCATATACCGGGCACAATTCCAGACTCCGTGCTACTATTGAGATTTTTTTTTAAAAACCAGTAGTACTTTGACCGACCCGGGAATCGAACCCAAGACCCCTTGCCGGGCAGTCGCACTTGCGACCACTCGGCCAACGCGGCAGTCGGATAATCTTCTTAATTCTTGTAAGAATTTTATACGATCTAATTGATTTTCGAAAAGTGTTGGTTTGTATAGTTGTGTACTTACCTTCGTCTCCGCTGGCAGGTTTAATCTCTACTGATTCTGTGCTCTGCGCTGATGACGGCCTTTTGCTGTAGGAAAAATTATAGTAAGTAAGTACAGTGTTTAATTTAAGACCTATGTGCTATATAAATAACTGACTCATGAATCAACCGATTCAGTTCTTATAAATTTGGTTGAATGCCAACACTATACGCGTATCATCTCGTTATCATACTGGTACTATTAGGAATTATCGAAATATCTCGACTAGAGTTTGATTATACAATCAAACCTGGTGATTAATTTAATCTATCATTACAGAGTAGTTTCAGTAACATAACATCACGCCTTTTATCCCACAAGGGGTAGACAGAGGTGCACATTATGCCACTGCACAATGTAACACCCACTTTTCACTATTTATGAGTCCCATGTAATAGGGTGTGAGCCTATTGCCGCATACCGGACACAATTCCAGACTCTGTGCTACTACTGAGAATTTTTTAAAAACCCAGTAATACTTTTGTTGTAATAGTTTCAGTAGTATCTAATTCATCAAGTTCCTGAAGACTTTTAGAGAGGCTGCACATTTCTTTGAAGCAGTTCATTTTCATAGATTAGAAATTAAATAGGTATACTAACCGTGGCGGATACACGTCCTCGTGATGCGTATGGTGATGATGCGGCGTATGTTGGGCGTGAGGCGTGTGAGGCGTATGCGTCACGTGTGGCGTATGAGGCGTATGTGGCGTGAGCGGGGCGTGCGGCAACGCCGGCAGCGCGGCGTGGGCAGCGTGGGGGGCGTGGGGAGCGTGGCCGGCGTGGACCGAGCTCGGAGACGCCGGCCGGTGCGGCGCCGGGGCCGGCGGCGGCGGCGGCGCTGACGTACTGCATACTGACAATGTAAGGGGTTTGTTAGTTTGTACTCTAGTGTTTTAATATTTGATAAGTAAGTTTGTAACTTATTTAAGCTTATCACACTCATTATGAATCATTTGTTTATTTTATTCTTCTATATTGAATTCCTCAACATTAGGATTTAGGAGATTTACTTTTCAAATAATTTTACATTCAACAAATAGCATAGCAAATATAATCCAGTAATTCTTATTTGATTAATTATTATAATAAACAACTTTGATTACCTTTCTACTCGTTATTTAGTTTTTACTCGTTTACCTACTTTAACCTTTTATTTACTTGATTAAATATGTACAAACATGAATTATACTTACCTAACGGGTCTAGTGAATGTAGGTCCGCATCAGACAACACGTGCGGGTCCGTGCTCGTCCCATTCTCCACAATCTCCTTTATCACTACTGAATGTGTCTACAAACAACAAACAAATCATTACTTACTTATAATTACTGACATAATTATTATCAGTTGTTATTTGTTTTTATCACGACACTAAATAGTATGTATTTCAACCCTATATCTAAACCCTAGTAATAAATATCATGATAATGAATGTGCATAATAGGAATTTACTCAAGTAAATTCAATCCATTCAATATACACTCGTTAGTTTTTAAAAATAAGGTTCGATCTCAAGGAACTTTAATAGGTATATCGTAAAAAACGTAAGAAATAATTAATTGAGTATATTATCACTAAAACAATAATTGAAATGGGCTCAAAGAACTTGTTCTGTCCATTTACCTGATATCTAAGGGTAAAAAATATAATGGTTCATAAATTTGTAAGATTTTCTGAGTTCAAAACTATTTGTAGAATGCGGTCCTAACATTATACACATTCAATGCCCGTGTTTTTAAATAATGCCCGAATAATGAAACAAAACTCAATTCTAAGTCGCGCTTAATTATCTATAGTTCTGTCACCTCACTAAATTCGACCTCATCGTTCGCTTGATAAAATTGCAGCTATTTGCAGAAATAAATTCACTTGTTTCATTCTTCGTATAATGACAGAGACGGCACGATATTTAAGCACAATTTAGCAAATAGAGTAACCTTTCAGTATTCAGGCGTAAGGCATATAAAAATAATATACGAGTATTTTATTCACTTGTATTAATTTATTCTCATAATAAAGTTGTATTTACCTGTACCATCTGGTTATTGTTGTCGTTATCGGACGCGTGTCCCGAGGACAGTCCGTCCTCCACGACGGGCAGGTGTGTCACCACCACGCGGCTCGTGTCCATCACCACTGCTGGACAAATGTAACCGTTATCTCCTGCTTATTAAAGTTTAAAGTACTATGCCCTTTTGTGATTAGTTTTGTTGAATTATGTAGAATTGAACTTTATGGTTTTGGGTTTAAAGTTCATTTTCTATAAGTCAGTTTCTTTTATTTGTAAATCGGTATGGTTAACCGATTAGTTTCTTCTTAGTTGAAATAATAACAAATTCAAGTTTGAATTTGTCTTTATTTTAAAAGCACATACATTTATTACACTCTAAATGTTTTCTCAGTTTAACTTCTAAGTTTAGGTACGGTTTTAAGTATTTTGCTCTAAGTGGTAAATGCGAACGTCCAATAAGTTGATAACTGCACATTATTATGTATACTTGTATATGTGTTCACATTTTCCTTAGAAATGTCAACTTGTGTACTATGACGCTACATCCTACAATTTGTTTGAATAGGTAATACTTCTATAGTTATCACAATTCTCCGAGAATAATCAGTTTGTTTATAAGATAACATATTTTACGATTATTAACATTAAGGAAGAGATAAGGCTAATCTATAGTATTTCCTATACTATAATATCAGTCATAGTGTACTAAGAATTTAAATTGAAACATTATATTACTTGGAATCTATATAAAACGTCATCAAAATGTATTCGATTAAATTAGATATTTTTTGTCGTCATCGCTATTGTACGGAACAGTTTTGAGTAAATAAAAAACAAATCTTTGACAAAAAACAATAATAGTTATTTTTTTTAATTTTGTGGACTGTAGTAACTAAACTAACGACTCTACATAGATTAGACGAGTTAAACAGATACTTTAAAATGGACTCAGCCAAAATATAAGTATTACCTATTTAACATATAATTTGTCAATTGCTTACTACATACCTTATTTTATCATTCGGACGACAGTAACAAATTACCCTTTTTATAATAAAGTGTAAATCTTAACATTAACTCACCTTTCATCTCCGACAGCTCATTCTCCATCAACATGAGTGAGAGTGAGCGGTCACTGCCACTGTCGCTGGAGTCAGTAGAGAGTGCGAACGGTACGTCGGGCCGCGCGCCCGTCGGGGACCCCGAGCCGCTCCACGCCGCGCCCACGCTCAGCTCGCGCACGTTCGGGGTCGTGTATGTCCCTGGCTGTTGGGTGGTTCGGACCTGAACAAATAGAATAAAATATATAAAATAAAATGGGGTTTAAGCATTGAGTCATAACTTTAGTGAGACATATTAAAAATTAATTATGTTTTTCGGTTTATCTTTCTTTACTGTTTGACGAGGAACTCGACTAGTTTCAAGTCATGCTAGGGACTCATACTCATGAACAGCGCAACGCCCATAGTTACGCGAGTAAGCCGAAAAACATAATAATTAATTGTATTATTATTATCATCATCCGGAAGACGACTGCTGGACAAAGGCCTAAGTATGTGTACATTAGTAAATAAAACTATTAGTGTTGTGTATGTTGTTAGCAAACAGATCACAATCAGGACTACTCCTTTTTTTCGTTCCTACTCCTGCACTTCGACACGGAGCCTCAGTAACCCTTTACGTTCTCCGCGGCTCCGTAAGCAGGACTTTATTGAGCATAGGTTAAAGGTAAAATCGGGACAATTTTTGGTTTTTCCCAATAAGAGAAGGGACTCCATTGCATAAGAATCGTAAAATAATAATTATAAAAGGTGTGGTTAGATATTACTTATTACGTTAATGTTCAATTAAGCATGTTAGTTATCTTAAAAATTGTTTTCGCGCTATAATGGAGTATTTATCGGTCCATAGAGATAAAACTCGTACTATATCTTACAGTTACTTCGAAATTGTGACCTACATTACGTCATTTGTTATTTTTATCGATTTGGCTTATGGAATTTGCCATTCTTACGCTTTAACAGTTTGGGTCACTTTTAAAAACGTATGATGTTATTGTCTTTATAGTTTTATAGATTCGACAGCACCTACTCATTTGATAAGTACTGCATACCTTACAGAATTACGTCAATTAACTCCTTATTGGGAATAAGGCTTTTTATTCAACTTTCGTGAGTAAGCCGAAAACATACTAAATTATAATACGAATGTAATAATACGAAAGTAGTATGTATATACTAAATAAATTATTATGCTGCCATAGCAAAGCTGTAGCAGCGCGACAGTCGCCGCGTCGCGGGTAGCGAAATGCTGCTCATGAATATGAGCCTCTAGCATGGCTTGAAACTAGTCGAGTTCCTCGTCAAATTATTACGCGAGTAAGCCGAAAACATAATAATTTTCATTCAAATTGCCATTAAAATTTACTTTTATTGAATTACCTGTAGTCCTAAGAAATTGGTGTGGTTATGTGTAGTCTGTGGCGAGTCGAGTGCGTCGGACACGTGAGGCCACTCGGACTCGCTGCCGCCTTCCAGTCCATTCTCTGACGGACATTCTTGAGGCTGACGTCTTAGCTCGTAGTCTAGTTCCTGTAATTATAAGAATAAGAATAAGAATCAGTAAGAATAAAACGTATAGATTATGTCCGGTTAAGGCGTTGTGTATTAGATACACGATATAGATTATGTCCGGTTAAGACGTTATGTATTAGATACATGAGACGTAAACCTAACATAAGAGATTAAAAAGCGCAAGTCATACCTACTTCGGCTAAAAATTGCAGATTGTATTTCTTTAAACACCAAAGTTATACTTAGAAGGATTATTTTTTACCTACAAGGACTAGTGTTTTTTTCACTAACAACTAATTGCATTGGTCATTGTTAAAACTGCTTACAACAGGTATATAATTAATTCGCTGACCCGTCAAACTTCATAACGCCTGCTTAAAATTTATTTCTCACTTTTAAACCGTCTCTCGACTTCCAGGACCAATTCAAGACCAAAATTACCCAAATTGGTTCTGTCGTTGTAGAGTTTTACCGAGACTAACGAACGGAAATTCATTTTTAATTATATAGATAGATACTATTATGCGCGCCAATGGAATCATTACATTAATTTATACCATGGGCTCTTCAGAATATATAAAATATAAAATAGGTCATTGTCCTAAATTGTTACAATAATAAAATAAAATTCGTACCTGAAAGTTAACAATCTCATCATTAGCAATGAGATTATTGATCTGTGGCTGTCCAGCGTTCGTGGGACATCTGAAGAATTCTTCCAAAACCTTCCTGGTCTCTGAGAACTCGTACAGGTAATCGAAGGCCGCTGACCCTGATGGTGGACTGATGTCTGTGTTCTCTGGCACTACCCTCTGGATGGGAGAGGAGGAAAAGCTATAGGAGGTTGCTAGACTAAGTAGATTTAACATTATAATGGTTTTTGTGTCAAGACATTCAGAAAAATTGATTTTTAATTAAATAAAATTGGAGTAAGATATACGTCTATGATCTGAGAATATCAAATGATTAGTGCCAATAGTAGTACGAGTAATATAAACTGCGCTGATAATGGATCAATCTGATAAGTAGGTAGATATCTGAGTCATTACAACATGACGGTGGTAGGTACCTTAGGACCCAGGTACTGATACAGATAGCATTCGAGGTTACCATTTAGGAAATAAAAAATGTACTGCATCATTGACCGAGTGTGATTGTCGATCAAGGTGTCTTGGGTTAAATCCCGAGTTGGTCTAATTATTATTGGGTTAGTTTTTCGGGGATTCGACTGCCTCGTTGCCCGAGTGGTTGCAAGTGCGACTGCCGGGCAAGGGGTCTCGGGTTCGATTCCCGGGTCAGGCAAAGTATTACTGGATTTTAAAAACATATCAGTAGTAGCACGGTGTCTGGAATTGTGCCCGGTATATGGCAATAGGCTCACCCCCTATTACATGGGACTCATAACATAAATAGTGAAAAGTGGGTGTTATATTGTACAGTCCCATAATGTGCCTTCCCCTTCGGGGATAAAAGGCGTGATGTTATGTTTTACGGGGATTCGGAAATTCCAGTCATAGAATCTAAAATTGCAGCCCGTAATTGCTAATTGGTTCAGTCCTAATTAGGTATATGGGACACGTAACATAACTCATAACTAGTGGGTGCACATTGTGTACCTAAGTGGCATTACATGCACCTCTGTCTAACCTGATGAAGATAAAGGTCATTACAGTATATTTAAAAAATCACCTTAATTCGAATTTTCACGTACTTTCCACAGCTTTTTAATTAACAGTATTTATTAATTTGGTTCGATTTCAACTACACTAGTCAAAAATTCTCACCTGTGGAAACCCAGGCCTCGGCGACCGGGTAGGCTTCTGCGAACCAACGCCGTACCTTCTCGGCGAGCCCTCGTACTCAGCGATGGGCAATTCACCAATGACCCTGGTCACCCTCGACTTGTCTTCATCACCGGACAGCCACGCGGCAGACGGACTCGCGTCACTCAACCGGACCTCATCCCGCGACGGACTCGATTCACTCTCATCACTAATCTCACTTTTATTGTTCAACACATCACTATCACCGTTTTTAATATTGTCTATAGTTCTCTTTACACTTATATCAATCTCATCGTCACTAGCTTCAGGTTCCGTCCTCAAACCTAGAGACACAGAATTCAATATCACTGAAAATAAAAGAAAGAGAAAAAAAAGTTGTATGAATAACAATGGTTATTGGATAGGATGGTTTAAGGTTTGATTTTAATCTGTTGTAAACTTTTGCTAAATTGTCTCCTTTGTTGTTAATCATACAAACTGAATGATGTGAAACACACGAACACGAATGACAAAGAAAAAGTTTATTTCCCACATTTGGCAGTGTAATAATATTGTTGACGTTACATACACGAATGAGAGAAAAGAATAATAATAGAAAAAATTACACGCAATATTCTAGTAGATACAATTAATGATATTACTTGTAAAAGCAAAGACCGTCGCAATTTTTTTAAACAATCCAAAGATAACAAATTAAACTGTCAAACACCAAGCGGTCACCGGTGACCGCGACCCATTGTTCTTTAATTGTGTCTATAAAACCGGTACTCGACGAGTTAATTAATGTGTTTATTTTTCTCTAAACATATTCTAATTTCAAATAAATTCAGCCTGTGTTCGATAAGTAAGAAACGTCAAAATATTATTTTGTGCCAGCTTGCACATAAAAAACACGTTTGGCTTGATGACAAATATTGCACAGACACCACAAACATTTGAGTGTTAACAAAAGTTTACAACATTTAAATTATTCACAAAATAGGTGTTAGAAGGGTGAAAGCAAGAGCAAAGATAAACGTAAAGCAAAAGTGAATAGTGATTGAAACAATAAAACAAAATAAAAACACACTAAACATGTAGTGCAAGTCACACAATAATTAGCTGAATTTTGAAAGCACTTTACAATTTTATTGATTTTGTTTTTAAAGCCAATTTATCCATTTCTGTTTTACTATCAAGACAAAGTGAATGCAGAGTTTTAAGTCCCATTTTTAGGACATGTTTTTTTTTAAATATTTACAATTCCATTACTATCATTGTATAATATTTTACAACTATTAAATAAACAATAACAGCAACAGTTGAATACGTTATCTGTTTGCGTAAAAAATAGACTGACAAAAAAAAAATGAAAGGTAAACAGCAAAAAATCTGCATTCACCTTTATAAAAAAAAAAACAAACAATTACCTTTCCAGTCATCACTATCATCAAAGACAACGACTTCTCCGTCAGCCACAACAGCAATGGGGCTGCTTTTAGTGCTGACGTCAGTCGTCTTGTGGGGGTCCAGGATTGGGGAACTATTCTTTGGAATCCCCATCGCACTCTGCTCTAGGATGACGTCACGATCCCCATTCGTGTACGTCGGTGATGTGTGCCGGGATATCATTTTCTTAGGCTCATTGTTTATTCTGTGTAAGGATATCTGTAATGGAAATTGTTTTGTTTTAGTAAGAAGTGCTTTCATTGAATTTCAGTGCAAGGATTATTTTGTAGTGGCCGATGCTGTAGTTCGAAATACATTGTTCCTGAATTTGGACGATTTTCCTACTATATGACCTAAATACTACTTCAGCAGTACATTCACCTAAAATCTTATTTAGGCTTTAGATAATAAACCAGATAATAAATAGGATGAATTATCTGTTATGAATGGTTCAATTATCTTTGTTAAACAAGGACATCCAAAGACTATAACATATTTTTTTTAATGGGGGAAAATCATCGAATCATCGGTGAGGCGGGAGGAAGTGTCAGACTCTTACTGACTAATAACCACCCCGTTCCTACTCCTGCACTTCGAGCCGGAGCCCCGGTAACAAGTTAAGTTCTCCGCGGCTCCGAATCGGCATCAGCCCTATTGGGCCCCATCTGTGGTGGTCTGATGAAAAGACTATGACTATGTCTTAGCCCAAGCTCTTGAAACAATGACTGTGGCACCTAGCTACTATAGACTGACACGCAGAATACACACACATTAACACGAAGGACATCTGTCGCATGACATGGCTCGTCATTACACTTCATATATTACGATATTGCAAACACACATAAATACACCACTGACATTTTGGTGCTTCAATTATTTATAAGTGATATAGGTAATCCTACGTACACCTTTTTTTCAACGTCATTGTTATTAAAATACAAAGTTGTAAAGAAAATTCAAGTGTTTCATATCCTTAACAATAACTGATCACATGCGCTTCACAAGGAGTCACTTAGGCCTGAATACTGAAAGGCTAATCAATTTTAAGTTTTACTTAAATATCGCGCCATCTCTGTCATTTTACAAAGGCTTTGGAGTGACAGTACTATACTTAACCGCGGCTTTAAATTGAGTGGTGTTTGATTATTTCAGCGTTAGAAGGGCAGAACACACTTAAACGCTTGAATATGAGACACGATATCACGATTATCAAGTGTGGGAGAGCCATGCTTCGGCTCGAATGGGCCGGCTCGACCGGAGTGATACCACGGCCTCATAGAAAACCGACGTGAAGCAACGCTTGCGTTGTGTTTCGTTGTGTGAGTGAGGTTACCGGAGGCCCAATTACCCTCCCCTTCCCCAATCTCCGCAATTCCTGAATCCCCAACGATCCTCAAACTCCTAATCCCCAAAAGGCCGGTAACGCACTTGTAACGCCTCTGGTGTTCCAGGTGTCCATGGGCGACGCCAATTGCTTACCATCAGGTGATCCGTCTGCTCGTTTACCGGCTTATGCCATAAAAAAAACGATAGAAAATACATTGTGTCTCGCGTAGATCCACGCTTAGACACACGACGGGTTAAAACCTACCATAAACATATTAAACGCCAATTGCAAAGGCGTTACCATATCGAGGATCATTTTGAACAATTCCTTCACCAATCCACTTTTAAAAAATCAAACTGTCACTGCACATTTGTAACAAAAAAAACCCAGACAACAAAATACTGAGATAAACAGTTTTCCCGATAGAAAGGCTTGTATTGATGTGACATTTATCCACAATACTTATCCGAGCGATAGTTCCATATATCTATTTTATTTACGAGATAAAAATCAAGATTATGTGGCGGGGAGATTGTGGTAACATGTGATATCTGTATTGGTCATATAAATCTAGTATGGAGTGTGTAGGGTTAACAGGTAGAATGGGACAGTAAAAAATATATTTATTCAAATTCGTAATCTTCCGTAGTTATTGACAGTCATCAGTCGTACTGTACATGTAAAAATGTAACAATAAGAGCATCCTATATTCAGATAATCATAAAAGGTAGGTACTATCATAATCTATCATTATGGGTGAACATCAATTGTTTCTATAGTTGATAACTATACCGACTTTCTACATATCCGGTAAGATTTTCTAAAATTTTCCCTTTTTAAACAAAAAAAATAACATTCAGTTTTATGCAGTCGTTTAACGAGTTTAAGAAACATTTCAACCATTCATTTTTATTGGTAAATTGATAATGTAACCTCAATCTTAGTAAGTAGTACTCAAAACTGGTACATCTAAAACAAGAAAATATTCTAGGTAAGTATTCATAAAATGCAGTCTATCTTCCTAGGCACAGAATTCACACACGCTCGGTACCCCCTTTGAAATGTCGCCATGTCGTAATGTCGCCAGTGTCGGCGCCAACTCGCTGGCAACCGACTCGTGTGAAAGGGCAATTTGTACTTATTTCTTTAAAGCCTCAACCCTCGACTCAAAAGCGGTGCAATGACGTCACACGACAGGGCACGCAAAGCGGATTAAAACCATAGACGCGGCATTTTTCTTCTGAAAATATTTTATGGTGTTTGGTCGGAAATACAGGTAGATTGGTTTATGTGAGTTAGTTGTGGAACACAAATGTTATTGATGGGATACTCTGTTTCGTTACTATAAAAATGTCTTAGATATGAAAAACTTTATTTATTTGTCAAAAATCCAAACACGCTCAAAAGAAAGGCATGCAAAAAACTACATAGATAGAAAATTCATATTGTATGTAAGTATATCAGAACTACGTACGAACCATATCTTAAAAATATTTAAGTGTACTGTAGTTTATTAAGGTGCAGATAACTCCCGACACATTACCTACACACATAGCGGCATGCGGGGACATTCGGCAACGAAAAAATACACGAAAAAAAGGTTTCTAATTAAACAGTCTACCTCATTACTAAGGTTATCGGCTGCGTAGTCGACGGTGTCTTTGCTGAGGGAGCGGACTTTGTTCCTGAGGTTGTGTTTGTGCGTGTTGTTGTGTCGCAGCTTGCGCACCGCCTTCGTCCGGCTCTGGGAGTACAGCTCGCGACCTCCTGCGATTTCTATGATCCTGGTAACGAGAGAATGCGTTATAAGTGAGACACCAAAATAGTATACCGTTCGATTGGGTCTATAATATAAAAAGTTGATCTACCAATTCATAGACCTAATGAGCAGCCAGCGAGCTGCGCGACGTCGCCGCGACCGCGCACGCTGCTCATGAGGAAGAACCCCTCATGCTCTCTCTCGAAACTAGTAGAGATTTTCTCAGTATATTCACGTGAGTAACCCGCGATTTTACTTAATTTATCTTTATTTTGTCTTAATTCAAGTAAAACAATTGGGTATGTACGAAGTCTGATACGAAACTAGAGTTAATATGATAATTTATTATTTGTCTGGTCCCAGAAATCAATCTCGTACTACGTTAGTCCAAGCCAAGATCGGTTGAATTTATGTTTTTTTTTCAAAGTTAGTTCAACATTTTAAGTAAACCTCATCAATTAACGAAGTGCCTAACGTATGGACAAAGTTCAAATCTATAATAAGACACAACTTCTAAACTTGACCTAAATATCTCAACTCTCACTTAGATAAAGATCCTAAAACTATTCAAAGCGAAGAAGACAAAGGATGTCTTAGTAGCACAATGTCACACACACGCCTACGTGACGAATACTTGCTGTCATACTTCTATAAATAAATCCTTTACATAAGCATTACGTGGGCAAAAGGTGCCTTGTAGCAAAAATTTTAATGGGGGTCTTAGAAAGACACTCTCTTTCGACCAATTATCCCAATTCTATTTATTTTGCCAAAATGGTATATAAGAGGAGTAGTTTATGAAACAATTGCCTGCGAAGCATTCCTAGTTTCATTCACAAATCGATTTCAGAGGGTTTAGTACGAGTTTAATGTAATCGAAACGAATACGCGTTCAGCTCTCAGATTGGCCGGGTCCAGTGACCAAACCAATAAGAGCGCCAAACCCGCTCTCGTTTCGATTACTTTAAAAAACTTTACTTAAAAAGAAAAAATGAGGCCCGTTACACTCGATTAGGCCATTAGTACCTAGGACTTATCACATAAGTGGCGAATAGTTATTAGCATCTGCATAGGTTTCTAAGAATATTAGACATGACTTCACATGACGTCATATAAATGAGCTTATTACCTAGAATCCCTAAGTTTATAGGTTCCTCCTTTAGAGTTGAGTATGACAAGCTGGCTCTCGTTGCCTCGCTCCTCGTCAGACGAGGCGTTGTTCACATTGTTGGTGTCGCGATCGCGACCCTCCAAGCTGGAGGTCAACCTGAAATATTTCCACGAATACATTTTAACAGAACAATTTCATTCCACGAAGCACTCACAAATTGACAACAGATTCAGACTAAAAGTCTTTTTACATCAACGTCACAATACAACTAACAAAATTAATATTTTTCGGAGAAAGACCCTAAATAGCGTAAGTTTCATTCGTTTCAACAAAAAACAAAACACATTAAAAATAAGTTCAACACTTCATTAAAAAAGTTGTCATTTAAAAGTTGATAAAACCATCCTTTGAATTGCGCATTTCTTTTGCAAGTACTCGTTAAATTTTAAATAAAGGGCTAATTACGTTGCAAGATCAACATTGCAAAGCCTTTGCCCCTTCGGATGGAGTTGGTCGTATTTTAATGTGTTTGCACACGTAAGATGGCGGCAATCACAGTCTGTTTGTGAACGTAAAACGCTATAATTATCACTTAATGTGTATCTGTTTAACAGGGCTATAAAAGGGTGGTCCATTACGTGTCCACAATAACTGTGGATGGATGTAAATTATGCTATTGCGGGCTTTAATAGCATTATCATAAAACGCTGTTAAAATGTCAAGCGAAACATCCTGGCAACATTTTATAAGTGAGTGGTTTAAACTATAGGAAATGGGAAACTTGGCTATAATTATCTGGACTAAAAGATGAATGTAAGTATTTTTGTAATAATTGTGCACCGGAAATTTTTAGGGGAGGCCTGTGTTCAGCAGTGGGCTGATACGATGATAATGATGAACTGTGCAACTTCAGTACCAAATTCAGTTTATTCAGATGACATTTAACGCAACATTGAGCTAGTCAATGTTTAAAATAGCAATGGTTTTGTTTGTAGAAGCATATCTTTGCAGTTTCGTAGCATAAGCATAATTCGCCAGTTATGTTTTAAGTCCCACGTACTAAGTCATGGACGATATGGCAAGTTTATGTCCTACTATATACAATGAAGCAAAAAAAGTGCCTTGCATTACTTACTAAAGTTACGACTCCAATGCGCTTAAAGGCAAGCCAATGGGTAAGGGTTAAACATCCTCCAGTCTATCAGTGTACCTACTGGAGTTTAGTGGTTAGCTATGGTAAACTAAATTATTAAAGTTCAATGGTTAGTTAAGCTAAATTACCTGTCGTGTGCGTGCTGCATGTTCTTTGGGCGGCACTTGGGGAAGAGCCGCGTGATACGCTCGCCGACGTCCGAGCCGGGCGTGGAGTCGCCCGCGCCGTCCGCTCGGAGCGCGGCCGCGCTCATGTCGCCAGCACCGCCACGGTCACACCGCCACCGCCTCTACCGGCAATAGGTGCCGCTACGTTAGTTATTAGTACACAGACACAATCAAATGAAACTACAAGTAAGTAACAAACAAATAAGAAGATACTTAATCCCAACAACTCTAAAAAAGAAAGGAGAAATTAACAACTTTGCACTAAGACCATAAAACATGCTGATAAACATTCCTTGTTTTAAATAAAGGTTTTCAAGTATTTAGACAAAGATAGGCAAAGATTCTAGACTAAGGAAGTTCTGGAATTCTAGACGAGTAACGAAAATGAAGCGCTATGGAGACTTCCAGCTGAGATGCAGTTAAAAAAGTTTCTATGATTATGTTAGGAGCATATTTCTTTCTAATTGTCGAATCAAAAATTAATAAAAATACATTAATAGCCGATTTTACAATGTAAAATAAAATTGATATTTGACAGTATGTATGAATGGTCAAATATTAAAGGTAAATCCTCAGTTAAAATTTAACTGAGCATTGAAAAATCGACCTTAAACAAAGTAAACTTGATAAATATTTATGTCAATCACATTAATGTATAAACCAGACGCGCTTTTGAATGATGTAATTACATTAGTTTGCGGGAGTGAAAATAACTGTACAGCACTCTGTAGTTAAGGGACGGCCAGCAAATCACATTATTCGATTTAATGAGTTCCGAACTGCATACGAATTCGAATCGTACATGTGTAACTAATTCTGTCTGTTTGTTAAACTTTTAATGACTGTGATGCAGATGTCCATGCTGTTTTTGGACCTTAGAGAATATTTTATTAATGTTTTCCAGTATAAATTGTAGAATTATCAAGGGGTTCTAAATAAGTCTAAACAAAATGTTGACAATTCATTTTAAAAAAGGTATGGGTTAAGAAGTAGTTTTAAAGCAACATCACCATTTTTAAGAGGGTCCATTAACGTGTACTTCTTATCCAATTTCCTTATGCTACATTGTCTTAGAGAATACTTTAATGCAAAACTATTTAGTTTCATTTTGTCTGTTTCCGTGCCAACCCTCGTAAATGTATCCCAATGTTATTTGACCGTTAGCAGTATCTATGTAAATCAAATACGGATCGCTTCTCCAATTTCTTTGAGCAATGTAACCTCTTTGGAGTCGAGTTTATAGGTTGTAAATTTTAGACTAGGTATTACCGGAGTGGAACACGGACAGAAATATGGAGAACGTGGAGTTTGGAACGTACCTGACGGAAATATTCAAGAAGGTAGAGTATTGGAATAGCGTAGCGTAGGTTGCGCATAGAACACGGTTCAAATTCAGCTTCCGAACAGTAAATTGTAACCAAAATGAAACAGAATTCCAGTAATTCAAGCTGTGAATTTATATATTATATACGCTGTTTAGAATCAATTACGATTATTAAAAGTAGTAATAGTACTTTATACTGCAGAGTAATTTTGCTTGATAATCATCAGCTTGAAGTACAAACCATTCCTTCTATACTCCCTAATAATTGGCAAAACCACCAAAACTACAGCTATAAATATGGTAGATTACATTCATTGTGCAAATAATAAAAGGAATAAGTGCATAATGTAGGTACTAGTGTTCATGTTAATAGCTTCTAGGAACGTTTTGGGTTTTATCACTGGTGTTCGGCCAAGGCACCGACTTGCCGAGGTATTGGGGGCAGGGGCCAATGACGTGTTTCGCATGGCACCGACTGTAACCGCTGCCAAACTACCAGATCGATAGAACATTAGCGTTGTGCCCACTAAATCTGCAGGAGCGATCAGCGATAGCGGATAACTATTGTAAAGACAATATAAATAATAGAATATTACGTATCTAAATGAGTTAGTTCTTACAAGTTAATGAAGTTGGTAAACATATTCTAAAGTGAGTGTTACACTAAGGTTTCTTTAAAGACAAAAGTGTTGGTAGATCTGTCCATTACGTCCATTGGCCAATTGGCCCACATATTCGAGACATTGGAAAACGATTACGCATTTTTCAATTGGCCAACGAGGTGACCTATTTTCGGACAAATAACCCGTATAATACAGAAACATGGGAATGTTTATTTCTACTGCTTTCCCATTGGCAGCAATGCGGATTACGTTTTAACGGCTTACACGATTTTTATTTTACGATAAATGCTCGAATTCACTTACTTTGATTTTGTTTTATATTTTTTGTGTTCAATGTTGATGTATATAGGTACATGTTGAGCTAATTCTCGAGTGTTGATCGAATAAGGTTAAATTGAATCAATTATTCACCAGTTCCACAATCTAGCTGTCAGTTAAAGGTAACAGTTATTCATAACAAAAGCATTCAACACACACACATAATTGTAGTGTGTGTGACACCTCGCCCTATAAGTAAGTAGCGTAAGATAGATATTAGACACTCTATTAAAGATATTCATAAGAACAACACGTCTCCCTCATTGCTCCACATTGCATGGCGACCCTGCCAGTGCTGCCACGCGGGCAGCGCTGTGCACGAGTACAATGTTGGTAATTTCTGTTTGTTGAAAATAATAAAGACTATTTTATAAAAGTGGACTAAAAGTGCGTATCAGCGTTCGTAAGTGGAAAGATTTTGCTGGCTGCTGGGTGTCGATGCAGCCAGATGTGGACCTGCCGGGAGCAGTTGGTGTCCTGGAGGATGGAGCCGGGAGATGTTGGCGACCAGGGAGCGTACGAGATTGTCTCCGCTACCCTGGCAACGCAGAATGAAGTAAACGGACTCCAAATTACTTGAGTGTTTAAAATGTTAAGTGTATTAGTGTAGTTAAAAAGTGAAAATGGACACCAGTATATAGAACTGTAGTAGTAAGTTAAACATAATTTTAATAAGGGCCCAACGTATATTACATAATTTTAGCTATTTCACATAATTTTAAACATTTTATTTATAATAATATATGTATGTATACACTAGATATAGTTCACGCCTGTTGACAATATTATTAGTTTTTGTATTGAATCATTTTAATATTATTTTGTATGAACTAATGTTAAATCTTGCAAATTTTTGTTGTAATTTAGAGATTTTTTTTTAAATTCGTAGTTCGCTAACATTAATCAGATTAAAGGAATGTTCCCATGCCCATATAGGTAAATGATGTCATACCGAGTGTCAGATTGTATTGAAAGAATCGTGTTACTCGACACCGATTAACAATAACAACTGCACTTTGGTTTTGTCTTGTGAAATAAATAAATTAGATGAATGAAATTTGATATTAGCTAGGTTTTGGAATGTGTTCATTGTTTGTATAAGTATGTAAGTTTGGTTTTTAGGTAGTTTGGAATAACTTGGTACACAAGTTTTGGCGTATGACTGAGGGCTGATCACCTAAGGACAACGTAATATTTTGTAGACCAAGCTATTTAATTGGATTGTGTTTATGTTAGGTTTGACAGTTAAGAATAAGTTAATAATAAATATAATAGGTACACATGGTAAGGTACAGTTTAGTGTTCATGTCCTTAGTTTGATCATGGTGTAGACGAGCTCTCTCTGTGAAAATTATTGGAGATCATAAGAATCTTAAATATTGACACTAAATTATGAAATGAATAAATACTTAAATAAAGTAAGCACAATGATAAATAATAATGAGTAGATAAAGATATGAGAAGATATAATGAAATAATTGAACAGGTACCGGAGAGTCCTGTATAAATATAATGTGCTTACATGTGTATGTTAGTATGTACCTTACGATGATAGTGAAAAGTTTTAAATAAAATATATTATGTGTACCTAGTTATAAAAGATATAGAGGTTTAGGGTAAAGGTAAATAATTAATGATAATAATGAAAAATAAATATGTACGAAGGATAAATTGATAATAGAATTTTAACAAATATTTTGTAATAATTGTCAACAGTGCGACTAATTCTATTTAAAAATATTTTAACAGTTTAATTAAAAAAAAAATGTATTAGAATAATTTTTTTTTTCAAAAAACGGGGGAGGTGTAGTGTGTGTGACACCTCGCCCTATAAGTAAGTAGCGTAAGATAGATATTAGACACTCTATTAAAGATATTCATAAGAACAACACGTCTCCCTCATTGCTCCACATTGCATAATAATTTAAAACATAAGTTGTCACGTCTAGAGGATTCGAGTAGGTACTTTATAAAAGCAATACTTTGGCACAGATGCCTGATGTCTTCAACAAACATTCGTACGAGACATTTTCTGCAGCGCTGGCGTATAACTCAACTTATGCTAGTTTTATGGAATACATTTTGCCATATGAACGTAACGAGTCGCCGCGTGTTTTATGGCCCAAACTAGGGTTGCCAAATAAAAAATCAGAGGGCGCACTAACTTGTTAATTTGACTGGATATTTTTTGCTTCATTAAGCTTGAGTGATTTTTAAATAGGATTTCTTTGTTAGCATTCAATTATTTACTGTTTTATGTGGAGCAATTTTGATACAAAAAGTATACGCTAGAAGTAAAGAAAGCGTATTCCAAAGCAGATGTTTAATAAAGCAACCCTTCTCTCAATAATTCTGTGTCCCTGTCGACAGGGCCCTAAGGGTGGGTTTATGCGAACTGTTTTTATTGCGCCAGACGATACACGCTGTCACAGCAGAACCTTTTTTGTTCGTAGGCCATGATGTAGGGAAATCAGCTTACAACCCGCGGCCATTTTGAATCACAAAGGCTAGTTTGAATAATGTTTTGCTCGAATGCAAGTTTTGGTGCAGTTATTTAAATTTTATTCCGTTTATGGGGTTAGCCTAGTTACTTGGCGAAGGAAATTTTGTCTTGTTTAGTTTTCGGTTGATTGATGATTGTAAGTTTGAAGAACTTCCTTATCAAAGGATTGCAGTCGGAGATAGTATATCTATGGGGTGCGATTAGCTGATGATGTTGAAATAGACAACGATACTTTCCCTCCGCGAAACTATCGTCAAAACCTACTGCTAAATTTGCCATAAATCCCCACTGCAGTAATTAACCGAGGGAAGTGGAAACTATCGTTTTTTTCTTCTCCTCTTATAATATCTTCTGATTCACTTCGTTGCGGGAACCAAGACAGTTATTCATGTCCCGGTCAGTGTTGTGGGGATTTCATGGTTGTATCTACTGTAGATCCTGGCTTACAGGAGTTGCAGCGGTTTTGGGAGGTTGTGGCAGCCTAGTCCCATAAAAAAAACCCCACGCTTGGCGAACGGGCTACAGATGGCCACTTAAAAGGTTCAAGTTATTACTGTACTGTATCTAAAAGAGAAAATATTACATTAAAATACCTACTGCTTTTGTAAATAGATCTTACGACTTCAACCTACTTTATATTGCTAGAATAA